ACTAGAATCACCACTCTCGACGGGTCTGACCTAGAGTATGTGGACAACTACAAATATCTAGGTGTCTGGTTAGACTGTAAACTCAACTTCCAGACTCACATAAAGAATCTCCAATCCAAAGTTAAATCTAGAATCGGCTTCCTATTTCGCAACAAAGCCTCCTTCACTCATGCTGCCAAACATGCCCTCGTAAAACTGACTATCCTACCGATCCTTGACTTCGGCGATGTCATTTATAAAATAGCCTCCAACACTCTACTCAGCAAATTGGATGTAGTCTATCACAGTGCCATCCGTTTTGTCTCCAAAGCCCCATACACTACCCACCACTGTGACCTGTACACTCTTGTTGGCTGGTCCTCACTACATGTTCGTCGTCAAACCCACTGGCTCCAGGCCATCTATAAATCACTGCTAGGCAAATCCCCGCCTTATCTTAGCTCATTGGTCACCATAGCAGCACCCACCCGTAGTCTGCGCTCCAGCAGGTATATCTCACTGGTCATTCCCAAAGCCAACACCTCCTTTGGCCGCCATTCCTTCCAGTTCTCTGCTGCCAATGACTGGAACGAATTGCAAAAATCTCTGAAGCTGGAGACTCTTATCTCCCTCAATAACTTTAAGCATCAGTTGTCAGAGCACCTTACCGATCACTGCACCTGTACACAGCCCATCTGAAATTAGCCCACCCAACTACCTCATCCCTATATTGTTATTTAATTTTATCTTTTGCACCCCAGTATCTCTATTTGCACATAATCTCTTGCACATCTAGCATTCCAGTGTTAATACTATTGTAATTATTCTGCACTATAGCCTATTTATTGCCTTACCTCCATAACTTGCTACATTTGCACACACTGTATATATCTTTTCTGTTGTATTTCTGACTTTATGTTTTTTTTTTACCCCATATGTAACTCTGTGTTGTTTTTGTTGCACTACTTTGCTTTGTCTTGGCCAGGTCGCAGTTGTAAATGAGAACCTGTTCTCAACTGGCTTACCTGGTTAAATAAAGGTGGGAAAAAAAAATAAAAAATACAGACCAGTTATACCACCCTGACTAAAGAGAGAGACCAGCTACAGAAGGAGAGAGATGATCTCAAGAGAAAGTTATCTAATCTGAGTGAGATTACCTAATAAATGATCCTAACATCACATGCCTAATATGCAGTCAACTTGTATTTGTATTCTTCAATAATAGGTGCAGAATAATAATTCATGTTTTTGTCTTGTAGAACAAACCTGTCCTGAAGGCTGGCAGAAGTTTGAATCCAGTTGGTACTTCATCTCTACTGAGACTAAAACCTGGAGGGAGAGTAGCCAGGACTGTCTGGAGAGAGGAGCAGACCTGGTCATCTAAACAGTGTAGAGAGAGAGAGAGAGGAGAGAAGAGAGAGAGAGAGAGAGAGAGAGAGAGAGAGAAAGAGAGAGAGAGAGAAGAGAGAGAGATAGCGACAGAGAGAGAAGGGCGAAGAATCTCTAAGAGAGAGATCTATATGAAATTATCGCTACGTGATCTCTCGCTCTCTGATCTCTCTCTCTCTCTCTCTCTCTCTCTTCTCTCTCTCTCTATCTCTCTCTCTCTCTCTCTCTCCTCTCGATCTCGATCTCTCTCGCTCTCTCCTCTCTCTTCTCTCTCTCTCTCTCTCCTCTCTCTCTCTCTCTCTCTCTCTCTCTCTCTCTTCTCTCCTCTCTCTCTCTCTCTCTCTCCCTCCTCTTCTCTCTCTCTCTCTCCTCTTCTCTCTTCTCTCCCCTCTCTCTCTCTCTCTCTCTCTCCCTCTCTCTCTCTCTCTCTCTCTCTCTCTCTCTCGCTCTCTCTCTCTCTCTCTCTCTCGCTGATCGCTCTCTCTCTCTCACCACAAAAATCCTTGGTCATTAATGTATCTTCCAGTATTTAACGCATTTAGCCTATTGCAGTTGACAATATCAGTATCTTTATCAACAACAGGAGTTTCTCTTTGGCCTCAATAAGAGAGCCTGGATTGGTCTGACTGACTCTGTTACTGAGGGGACCTGGAGATGGGTGGACCGCACACCACTGACCACCCCAAGGTAAGAGACTACTGTTCTATAATAACACTGACCACAGTGTAAGGAGTATGCTCTAATAACACTGACCACAGTGTAAGGAGTAGGACTGATTCTCTGTGTTGTTCATAATCCAATGACTACGAGGTGAGATTTGACCCTCCTGGTGTAATATGGAGACTTGTTAACAAATTACATATTGCTTCAAATCTTGTTTTCACTCATAGATGTCATTCCACAAGCACTAAAGATATAGCATAGAAACCAAGTACTATTTGCATTTGAAAATGGCATTCAAAAAATACAAATAATGTTTTGGTTGTTGGTCCATGCTTGGTGAGGTATATTCATTTTAAAGGTAAAAAAAAACCTGTCTATAATTAGGATGATGTTTTCTACCACAGTGTCTGACTATTTACATTGACCCATTTTTGTTGATGATTTTTGCACTGGCTCTCTTCCACTGGCTCTCTTCCACTGGCTCTCTCTTCCACTGGCTCCCTTCCCTGGCTCTCTCTTCCACTGGCTCTCTTCCCCTGGCTCTCTCTTCCACTGGCTCTCTCTTCCACTGGCTCTCTTCCACTGGCTCTCTTCCACTGGCTCTCTTCCACTGGCTCTCTTCCACTGGCTCTCTTCCACTGGCTCTCTTCCCCTGGCTCTCTCTTCCCCTGGCTCTCTCTTCCCCTGGCTCTCTCTTCCACTGGCTCTCTTCCACTGGCTCTCTTCCACTGGCTCTCTCTTCCACTGGCTCTCTTCCCCTGGCTCTCTCTTCCCCTGGCTCTCTCTTCCCCGGGCTCTCTCTGCCACTGGCTCTCTCCTGCCCACTGGTCTCATCTCTTCCCACTGGCTCTCTCTTCCACTGGCTCTCTCTCACTGGCTCCTCTCTTCCACTGGCCCCCTTCCCCCTTTCTTCCCCTGGCTCCTCTTCCCTGGCTCCTCCCCCGGTCTCTCTTCCACTTTTTTTTGGGGGTCCCTTCCCCTGGCCCCCTCTTCCCCCTGCTCTCTTTTTCCCGGGCCCCTCTCCACTGGCCCTTTTCCCCGGGTCTCTCTTCCACTGGCTCTCTTTCCACTGGGCCCCCCCTTTTCTCCCACTGGGTCTCCCCCCTGGCTCTCTCTTCCCCCTTCCCGGGGGCTTTTCCCCCTGCTCTCCCCCCTGGCTCTCCCCCTTTCCCGGCTCTCTTCCACTGCCTCTCTTCCACCCCCTCCCTCTCT